TATGGTCACTTCCTGTTCACTGGTTGCAAAAAAACAAGATGGCGACGACCAAAACGCTGAACCCGAGGCTTCATAACATCACAACGACTACTTCCACTTCTCATACCGTCTGTGCTCCAAACCCACTGATGGAAACGCATCATTTTTTTGTTTTTGCGACAATTCAAAAGTTTGCTTAAAATTCACCTCGACTGTTGACGTCTTTAAAATGAGCTGAAGCCAGCGGCTGCATTGAAGGAAGGAAATCAAGATTGTTGATTGATTTGGAAAATGTTGAGCAGGAAATAAAAATATTTGCAATTTGTAGAAGAAGAAAAAACCAAAACAAGATAAAAACAAATGCTGATGATTTCTTCTTCTCTCTTCAGACCATCCAGGAAGTGGGTGGCTACGTTCTGATCGCCATGAACGAGGCCGCCGACATCCCGCTGGTCAATCTGAAGCTGATCCGAGGCCAGAACCTCTACGAAAACCAGTTCGCTCTGCTGGTGATGTCCAACTACAACCGGAACCACTCGTCTGCTACGCTCAACTACACCAGCGGGCTGAGACAGCTGAGGCTCAGCAGTCTGACAGGTACACACACACACACACACACACATTCCCAGCAAATACATAGAGGCGGTGAGTAGTTCAGGGGCCCTCAGAGAGTTGAGCTCCCAGCAAATACCCAGATCCAGCTGCTTCCTCATCACAGTCTGACTGTTGCCTTTTAAGATTCTTTAAACTATGTTTAATTCCCAGACGAGCTGCTTCAGTATTTACCTTCTTCTCATTCCAGTGTTTACTCTCATTGTGTTTTGCTTCATTTCATTTCACAAGCTGCTCGACGAGGCGTGGCTTTGCGGGGCTGGCAGCAGGCCGGGGCGGGGGGGGGGAGGGGTGGAGATTGAACACCGTTTATAAATCTTCAGTCAACACCAGATTGTGCTCTGCAGCAGGAAGTAGACCGCACCTAGAGCAGCCGTGGCCGGTGACGTAGACATTAGCCACTGAGAGTGTCTTGTAAAGCTGGAGGACGAGTCCAAACGTAAACTGTGATGTCATTTACTTCAACTGCAGGAGCACACAAGAGTTTGTCCTGTCATGTTGTTCTGCACCGTGCCTTTAAGTGATTTGACTTGAGGACTCCAAAAAATGCTCAAACTTCATCTTCTCCTCACAGAGATCCTGAAAGGAGGCGTAAAGATGACCCACAATCCTTTGCTGTGCAACACTGAGACCATCCAGTGGTGGGACATCCTGGACAAGGACAGCAGTTCCAGCGTGCTTCTCAAGACGGACCCATTCACGCGTAGATGTAATGATAATAATATATACATTTAGTGGTATGTGGGATGAAGATGAGGCTTCCTTGTTCAGCTGCTGCTGAGCATTAATGTGTGTGTGTGTGTGTGTGTGTTTGCAGGTGAGACGTGTGACCCGACGTGTGTTAACGGCTCGTGTTGGGCAGCAGGACCGGATCACTGCCAGAGATGTAAACTCTACTTCATCTAACTTCACCTCATCAACATTCAATTTGTTATTATTTGTTATCAATCTACAATAAATTGAAGAAGTCTGAAGTCTGAAGTATTACTTTGACTGAAGTAAAGTAGTACTTCTTCCTCATACTAATCCTTGTGTGTCCTTGTGTCTCAGTCACTAAGCTGCAGTGTGCGGAGCAGTGCAGCAGAAGGTGTCGCGGCCCCAAACCCAGCGACTGCTGTAATGAACACTGTGCGGCCGGCTGCTCTGGACCTCGAGCCACCGACTGCCTGGTCAGTGTGCAACATGTGCTAACACATTAGCCTGTTAGCTGAACCCACGTCAGCTGCTTCAAGGTCGCTTCAGAATCACGGGATCTTGAGACTTACCCGTCTCTGTTAGTCTCAGGATCCCACATTAAGGCCCTCATGAAGCCTCAGGCCTCCTGATGTGTCTCCTGATGGGTCTGCTACTGCTGCGAATAAGAGGCAACATTGCTAAATAATTACAGGAAAAAATTTAAATATGAATACAATTATTTGAATCTAGTTCAGACCAAATTATTTGACTCACTCTTTTACTTGGTCACTAGTGCCGGGTATCGTTTTAAAAAGGTACCAGTACCCTTAAAGTGACACCAGATAACCACAGTTTATGTTCTGCTGTGACGTCCACACAGAAACTGTAAAGGAACAAACACGACTTGGTACTGGGTTGCTTCGGTCGATACCTTAAAAGTAATCTCTATGAACAGATTCAGCTTTCACATGTAGGATCTGTTGGCAACGGGACAAGATGTTGGTTGTTCTGGTTTCTGTTCGAGTAGCATTGACCAACCGTGGTGGAGCGGGCTTTGGTTGGTAAACAGTCCGTGTGGATTGAAAGAGGCTGTGATGTGATCTGGGAACCCAGCGGCGATCGTCTGACAATGATGTTTGAGCTTTTTATTGGTTTGAAATCAGCTTGTAAACTGGCTACTTGTGAAACAGTTCGGTCGTCTCTCAACTCAAACTCCAGTCTCGTATCTCAAGTCTCGGTCCGGATATCCTCGCTGGCCTCACTCCAACCCCACGAATACAGACCCCTTACCTCCAGAGGCTTATCGTCGTCAAAATTTCGTTTTCAAAATGAACATTTCCTAACATATTTCCTGTCTGTGTCTCTCCACTTCCTCTCCAGGCCTGCAGGGATTTGAATGACGACGGCACCTGTAAAGACGCTTGTCCACCTCTGACACTCTACGACCCAAAGACCCACCAGGTGGTCAACAACCCCAACTCCAAGTTCACCTTCGGGGCGACCTGCGTCAAGGCCTGCCCACGTATGGACCTTAAACCCTCATTCATTCTAAACATACATAAATAATAATCACATTATGCAGTGTTCATTACAGCCACAACATGAAAGTGTTGATCGAACAAATGACTTTCTATTGATGGAGCAGAAGAATCAATCCTGTACTGTCTCCATCATGAGTCAGCGTCGGTTGAGGACCACAAGTATGAAAAGTAAAACAACCTCTGACCTCTGTAACACACCTGAATCTCTGACTGAACTGTTGGCTACAGAGGTGCAATATGGGTAATGTAGGCGCTGGGTGTTGACAAGAAAAATGTGTGAAAAAAAGAAGAAAAAGACGACATCTCTGGTTCTGCTGCATCGATTTTTATCGTCTTTGAGTCCAGCAGTGTTGAAGAAGTGCAGATACAAATTCTCATTTGACTTTTGGTGGAAGTTAATACAATTCTGCTTTGTGTTTGTTTTTCTTGCATGAAGATAACTACGTGGTGGCAGGTGGATCATGTGTTCGTACCTGCAGCGCTGGGATGTACGAGGTGGAGGAGAACGGAGTCCAGCGCTGTAAAGACTGCGATGGTCCCTGTCCCAAAGGTAGAGAGACCTAGACGGACCTAGACGGACCTAGAGAGACCTAGAGAGACAGGAGCTGTGTCCCAATCCTTTGAGAAAATGATGAAAAGTTAAACATGTATCAATAATGTTAACACAGGGATGCAAACTTAGAAGATTGACACAGCAGAATATACACAAAGTCACACATAAACCATGTACATGGACGTCTTATTGTGGGTTTCAATAAATAAAAGAGAAAGGTGACAACACACATCAACAACACAGTGTCTGAAGTGTATTGTCCTCTCTCCTGGTTGTCTTATTAGTAAAGGCTTTATAATAGAGTAGAGCTAATGTAACTGTAACCTTAAGTACAAGATGGTCAAATGGAGATATTACAAACGGACTAATGTCTTAATTCAAAGCTACGGTTGTGAATGTTTGTCCATCGTTCTCCTCTCAGCTAGTTAGTTTTGCTTCACACCACAAAACAAAAGTAGCAAAATACTCATGTTCAGTGTATCCGTGTAATTAATCTCGTTTAAAACGTTACCGGACTTAAAGTGATATTTCAGGTTCATAACCTGTCTACCTGAGCTCCTGTTGGTCCATTTATGGACATAATATGAAGTATAAATCATCTGTAAAATCGTCACAATTAGTCAACCTCTGAAATTTGAAAGTGAAGTTATTAAAAGTTACTTTTCACGGCTTAATAATTACGGTCGGAAGCAGGCAGACGAGCTGCCGCTAATAGCACAGCGGCTACCGCTAATAGCACAGCGACTACCGCTAATAGCACAGCGACTACCGCTAACGTTAGCTAGCTTGTCAGCTAGCTAACGTCACGTAACTTAACCGTTCACTTTAACACACGTGATGTTATAAGATCGCTTATTTTGTTTTAACATTAGTATCGGTGATATTCGAGTGAGTTGACACAATACTTACATTTAAACATCATCCCCATGTCATTAAAATCAAATCTTCATCGGCACGCAATGCATCTTGGGATATCGTGGGCCATGAAGGATCCATCAGTTGTGTCCTCCGAATCTGGGAGCTGAAGGCTGCATTCGTCGGCTGCATTTGAAGGAGTCTTTGAAATGGAACGGCCTCACCTCAGCCACTGTGACGCAACCGGTCTACAAATGCAGCCTCCGAAGGATGCGGCCGCTGGATTGGGACACAGCCAGAGACCGGGAGAGACCTGAATACTGAACAAATAACCCGACAGAGTCTTTTCTCTTCCTCCAGTCTGTGACGGAGTCGGGGTTGGCGCTCTGATCAACACCATAGCCGTCAACGCCTCTAACATTGAGTCCTTCAGGAACTGCACTAAGATCATCGGGGACGTCTCCCTGATCGCAACCTCCTTCACTGGGTGAGACACTAACCCGGACCTACATATTTAGGTTTACCAGTTATCAAGATTTCCCCATGTGCAGTGAAGGAAAAGTGAAACTAAGGGGTTTGCTTTCATTGGCTCTTTCAGGGACCCGCACTATAAAGTCCCGCCCATGGACCCGGCTAAACTGGAGTACTTCAGAACGGTGAAGGAAATCACAGGTAGGTCGAAGGAAGTCTGTGAAGGAATAAGGCTGTAAAAGGTGTTTTTAGGGCCCGAGCAACCGACAACGTCGGGCCAGCGAAGGCCCTATTGAAATTCTATCTGTTATTTTAATTTGTCCGCAAAAGGAGCATTTTTGGGGTACTTGCCATGCATGAAAACTCACCAAATTTGGTACACTTGTCAGGTCTGGTGAAGATTTTCATCTGAAAAAGGATGCATCTTTCTGTCTAAAAAAATGGCTCTCTAGCGCCCCCTACAAATCGGACCGGTGACGCCCCTTGGCCAGTATGTCCGATTTACTTGAAATTCAACACACAAGTCCGACTCCGCTAGATCTACAAAAAAGCCTCTCAGACCCCTAAGCTCCGCCTACTTAGATTCTCCGCCATTTTACATTTAGTGAAAAACACATTTTTGCGAACTCCTCCTACATGCTGGGTTCGATTACGACCAAATTTGCTGTCGATCATTAATGGATCTAGATCATCAACATTTTCAAAAGCTTTTTGATATCTCTTTGCGTTACAAGATATGGACCAATAAGCTTTTAAAGGCATGGCTTATATATCAATACACATAACTTCTCAACCGTTTGTCCTAAAATTACAAAATCTGCAGCATATGTGCACATCGCATCCTGTAACATACCCTGAGAGTTTTGTTGCATTGAACCACTAGGGGACGCTACAGTAAACCCGCAAAGTTGTGTTTTTTGTCACTTTTTACATTTTTCAGCCTTCGTACTTTAACGAACTCCTCCTACAGATTTTAAGTGATCAACTTCTCCTTTGGTCAGGATGCTCTTAAGACCTTTGTGATGAAAAGTTATCAAAATCGGGAGTTTTCATCGAAGAACCTTGACGTGGCGTGGCAGCCATTTTGCCTCATTGTGGATGAAAAAATAAGTTGTTATAACTCCAAGGTACATTATTCAATCCGCACAAAACTTCTTATCCATGATGCTACTTCAAGCTTGAACATACTTCAATTGAAAACATTTCAATAACTTATAGCGCCGCCTACTGGCTAAAGGAAATGTCATATTTTATACTTTTATTTATTCCTCCTAGCGAGGTGACCTGATCAGTCTCAAATTTGGTAAGGATAGCCTTAAGACATTGATGATGCAATACCATGAATATTGTGCATTTTCGTTGAACGCACCCCCGAAGTGCTGGAGGTTGTGAGGGCCCGTTCATCGCTGCTCATTTTGGTGTACACCAATAAGTGTGTTTACATGTGAGCCGACCAGACATGATGCGGTTTTTGGAGTATGCCGTTCACGATCAGTGTGTGTGTGCGTGTGTGTGTTTCCTCCAGGCTTCTTGATGATCCAGTCCTGGCCGGAGAATCTGACCTCTCTGTCAGTGTTTGAGAATCTGGAGATTATCAGAGGAAGAACAACTCACGCGTGAGTCAGCTAATACAAATATTAAACTATCGTAACAAGAACAAGTCAAGTTTTGAATGCAGGACCTTTACTCGGCACACTGTTACTACCTTCTAGTAACAGATCAGAGTACCCCCCCCCCCCCCCGGTTAGAGGATGAATCATGTTAGATCTCTTCCTCTCTAGTCACTACAGTTTGTTGGTGGTGTGGGCGAAGAACCTCCTCTGGCTGGGTCTGCGCTCTCTGAAGGAGGTGAGTGCCGGTCGAGTGTTGATAAAGAACAACTCTCAGCTCTGCTACATCCGACCCGACCAGTGGACCCGCCTCTCCAGATCCAGGGACCAGACTTCCATCATGCAGAACAACGCTCCCCCAGACGTCTGCGGTGAGCTCCGAGACGTCCTTACAGCCGTCGCTGCTCAGAGGACAGAATGAAATGAGAAACTTCTTCTTGTCTGCCTCACGCAGAACGACAGAATCGAACCTGTGACCTGGAGTGTACGGACGAGGGCTGCTGGGGTCCAGGTCCCACCATGTGTGTCTCCTGTCGCCATTTCAACCGTAGGGGGCGCTGTGTGGCGCTCTGCCACCTGCTGCAGGGGTGAGACGGCAGACTGTCCCTGCTGGGACTTGAACCTATGACCTTATCACTGAATATGCTCACATAAGTTCAGTTTTCATGTCAGTAAACTTTGAGTACTTATGTACTAAACTTGACTACTACACAAATATAATATGAAGTATCATTAAATGTTGAAATGAAATAAGATACTGAGGAGTAAATATAATAAACCTTTAAGAGCTGCAACATTTAAGAAGAGAACACATGAATGCATCAATAAGTATAATCCAATAGTATAATACAAGTACTTTTATACTTTTGCTTCAGTGAAAGACTTATAAGGGAGTATTTCTACACTATGTATTACTGCTTTCACTGCAGTCAGACACTAGAGTACTTCTTCCACCACTGACACTATATCTACATCACTGTGGACCTCGTGTGTAGATAAAGCTGCTGGTGTCTCTGTGTGTCTATTCTGCAGCGAGCCCAGAGAGGTGGAGGTGAACAGCAGCTGTGTGGCGTGTCACCCAGAGTGTCTGCTGAAGACCAGGACCCCGACCTGCCGAGGACCGGTCAGTCCAGCTGCTGATTAATTTCTATCGTACAAATCCTAATATGAGACGTGAAGACTGTCAAGAGCACCGCGTGTCAACTTTATGATCGATTCTCACATTAATGTTTATCACAAAGTATTTAAAAACAAAAGATGTGAAGCGAATTCAGAAATATCAACTTAAAAAACTCACTACATTTTGAATAAATGACTTCATGACTCCTCTGGCGCCACCTGCAGGGTCCAGACCAGTGCTCCCAGTGCGCCCACTTTAAAGACGGCCCCCACTGCGTGCAGCGCTGCCCCCACGGTGTGCTGGGAGACGGAGACACGCTGATCTGGAAGTACGCCGACAGGACAGGCCAGTGCCAGGCCTGCCACCAGAACTGCACCCAGGGGTGAGACGCACATCAGGGCGTCGAGTGTTGTCTGTGATGAGAAGTGAAATAAGAAAAGTGACGTGAATATATAAGGAGCTGCTTGTCTCTGTGTCTGCAGGTGTTCAGGTGCTGGACTGTCAGGATGCACCAGGTAGAAATACAACAACATCAACACAATGAAAAGCAGTTTCTGCACATTGCTTTGGATCCTGTTAGCTGATCCAAATTTATCTCCTGAACGTTGAGGTCAGAGGTTCACAAAAGATGTGAAAAATAAAATAAAAACTGATTTAAGCTACAAACGAATGAGTTCACGACGTGTCTGTCCCGATCACATGACCCTTATCGGGGAGAAAACCAACATGTCTTCCAGTGATTTGTTTCAATGCGGACATCATGCTAAAGTAACCTTTCATCCAACATCCCTAAAGGTGTGATCAGACAGAAAGGGACGCAAACCTTTGCCCAGCTGGCAACGTGTAGTTTATGAAGCGGATTCATAAGAAGCATCAGGACAACAACAAACATTTTGCTTTAAGTTGAAACATTTTCAGCTGATACCAACGGGTCGGTTCCTGCCGTGCGTTCCATTGACTTTGCTTGCGGTCGCACCACCTCCAGAGTTCCCCTCGCCTTCTGTCTGAACACACAGTTCTGTTGTAAAGGGAGCTTAGGATGGGAGTCAACAGGAATGCTGCATTTAATTGGAGACATATGTGAATTATACCACAGTGGTTGAAGGGCAGTTGATCTAAACTCTACCTCACCACGCTACATTTGAATAGGAATCTATGTTAGCGTGCTAACATTGAATGTGAGTCAATGGGAATTCCACTTTTGCATATTAAATATGAATAGAAGTTAATAGTAATTCTAGCTTTTGAATGTCAGTGTTCAGTCCTCCCTTGCATTTTAACTGTGGTGTAATTGAGCATAATAAGGTAAATATTAAATGGGAGATAATGGTAATTCTTACTTCTCTGAATGGGAGTCAATGGGAACTTTACCGGAGCATACATTCGTTTATAACATAGCGTGTTAGAATTAAATACAAGTATTTGGAAATTCTAACTCAATGTGCCTCAATTTAATGGGCGACTATGATGAGGAATGATTCTAACGTGTGAACCTCAGGATCACCTGAAAGACAAACATCTGCTCCGTGTGTCCTCAGTGTGGCCACGCTGGCGGTGGCCGTGGTCGGCGGGCTCTTGATCGCGGTCATCGTGTCGCTGGTTATCTTTGTGTTGCTGCGGCGTCGACGAATCAGGAGGAAGAGGACGATGCGCCGCCTGCTGCAGGAGAGAGAGGTGGGAGAGGACGGGACTGCTAGATATAAGACATGGCTAACAAAGATACAGAGGACACAAAAATACACAAAGATACAGAGTGTCAGAGAACGTAGTGTACTGTATATGACCTGTAGATATTAGAGTCACGTGGACATCTAAAGTGTGTGTCTCTGCAGCTGGTGGAGCCGTTGGCTCCGAGCGGTGAAGCTCCTAATCAGGCGCTGCTGAGGATCCTGAAGGAGACGGAGTTGAAGAAAATCCGGGTGCTCGGCTCCGGGGCCTTCGGGACCGTCTTCAAGGTGAGAAGCTTTTGATCAAACAACACTTCATGGTGCTTGTACTGAAGATGTGTAGTAGGGATGGAAATGTCCACTTTGGTCCAGACAGAAACATCTCAACAACTATTGGACGTCATTGAATGATGTAAAAAACAAACATTCATGGTCCCCAGAGGATGAACCCCACTGACTTTGTTGATCCTCTGACATCTTAGCGCCATCATCAGGTCAACATGTTAACGTGTCCAACACTTTGGTTCATCACCAAACACCTGCAGAATTACAGACATTCAATCTGCCTCGTGATAATTGGCTAATATTAGCATGCTAACATGCTAAACTAAACATTATACCTAAAACCAGAACCTAGTGGCTCCAACCAGTTATTATTAGCAATACCAGTTGATAGCATCACGTAGCAACATGTCCACAGATGAGACAGAACAATAAACAGAATATTACTTCAGCTGGTTTACTGTTGGGGGAAGCCATCTTGGATTTTGAGCTCGAGGTTCGTTGGTTTGAAGTTGAGCTGTCACTGTGTTGAATATGATGAATATCGTTATTAGGGTCTGTGGATCCCTGAAGGAGAGAACGTGAGGATCCCAGTAGCCATCAAAGTTCTCCGAGAGGCCACGTCGCCTAAAGCCAACAAAGAGATCCTGGACGTAAGACTCCTCTTCTTCATTCTGTTGATTCTTCCTCTTTCCTCCTCCTCCTCCTTCCTCGTCATCATATTGCTCTCAAACGACTTGATTCTTTGTAAATGTGAATACAAACAGTTTGATTTTGATGTTGGAGGGAGATACAAAGACACACTTCAGGTTTTACTTGATGAAGGTGTTTCACCACGTGAGACTAAATCAAGTTATTATGAATACAAAGGGTGTGTGTGAATAAATGGAGTGTGTGTGTGTGCGTGTGTGTGTGTGTGTGTGTGTGTGTGTGTGTGTGTGTGTGTGT